GGGGGGGTACAACAAGTGGGTGCTGGGGATGGATGGGGGCAGTTGGGGTGGGGTGGGCCACGGATGGGTATGAGGGGCACTGGTTGGGTGGTGGGGTTGGGTGCCACAGGTGGGTGCTTGGGGGGTACAACAAGTGGGTGCTAGGGGGGTACAGCAGGTCAGTGCCACTGTGGGCGCTGCGGGGGTGCCACAGGTGGGCACTGAGCACTGACCCCAAACCCTGGGTTGGGCAGCAGCTGCAGGAGGTGCTGCGGGACCTGGACGTCTCCCACGCCACCTTCGCCCGCCGGGATGAGGCCCCAGAGCCACCCCCGAGCCCCCCCTGTGCCCAGAGCCCCCCCACCCCCTCGGGGAGCCCCTCCTGTCACCGCGGGCGGCGCAGGAACCCGAGCGGGAACACGGAGGGGACACAGAAGGGACGCGGGGCCACCAGCCCGGCGCGGGGTGTATTGTGTAACACAGAGATGTACATGACACCGGCGGGACGCGGCTCCGTGGGGCAGCGGCGGGCGGCGCGGGTGGCACGGGTGGCACAGACGGCTGACGCGCAAAGAGGCCACGGGTCGGAAAGCACCAGCCCACGATGCATCGCCACGAGAGCGGGACGGGGGGACGGACGGACGGACACACACGGGGACGCGTGGTGGGTGGCACCGGGTGGCGCGGGGCGGGGCTGCGGCGAAGCGGCGCAGGCGGCGGTGGCACGGGCGGGGGTGGGGGGCGAGGGGGCCACCCCCTCGCCCACCTCAGTCCTTGAGGGTGGCCTCGGACACGCCCTGGGCCAGCAGCTCGGCCAGCACGTTGTCCAGGTAGTTGGGGTCGGGGTACCCGTGGCCCGTCAGGTTGGAGCCGAACTCGGTCTTGTGGTGGATCTCGTTCCACACCACCGTGTCCGACTCGCCCGTCGTGTTGGACGTGCCGATGGTGAAGATGAGCCGCCGGTCCCAGGCCACGATCAGCAGCTTCAGCACCTGCCAGGGGTCAGGGCTCACCCACCCGGCACAGCCCAGCCTGGCACAGCCAGGGGTGACACACCCAGCACCCCCGGACCAGCCTGGCACAGCCATGGACTGTTCATCCAACACACCCATCCCAGCCCCCATGGTTTGCCCACCAGTATTCCCAGCCCATCCTGGCACAGCCATGGATTGCCCACCCAGTATTCCCAGCCCACCCTGGCACAGCCATGGATTGCCCACCAGTATTCCCAGCCCATCCTGGCACAGCCATGGATTGCCCACCTGGCACAGCCATTGATTGCCCACCCAGCACCCCCTGCCCTCCTCCCGCTGGTCACAGCAGGGCCCCAGCACCCAGGGCTGGGGTTCGGCCCCAGCACGATGCCTGCAGGGTGCCACCTGTCCCTGTGGCACAGCCCAGCCCCACCCCAGTGCTGCTGCCTCCTCCCTGTCCCACCTCATTCCATCCCATCCCTTCTCTTCCACATCCCACTCCTTACTATTCCGGTTGTTCTCCCTCCATCCCATCCCATCCTATTCCTTCTCATTCTATGCCACGCTATGCCATCCCATTTCTCCCATTCCTTCTCCCATCCCATTCCTTCCCATTCCCATTCCCCCCCCCATTCCCAGCCATCCCATCCATTCCCATCCCATCCCACATCATCCCTTCTCTTCTGCATCCCATTCCTTCCCATCCATTCTTCCTCCATCCCATCTCACCCCATCTCTTCCCATTCCATGCCATGCCATCCCACCCCATTGCTTCCATTCCTTCTCTCATCCCATCCCTTCCTGTTCTATCTCCATCCCTTCCCTTCCCTTCCCTCTTCCCTAACCATCCCTTCCCATCCATTCCCATTCCTTCTCTTCCCATTACATCCCCATCCTATCCCATATCACCCCTTCCCTTCCCTTCCCTTCCCAAACCTTCCCAAACCTTCCCAAACCTTCCCAAACCTTACCTTCCCAAACCTTCCCAAACCTTCCCTTCCCAAACCTTCCCAAACCTTCCCTTCCCAAACCTTCCCTTCCCAAACCTTCCCAAACCTTCCCAAACCTTCCCAAACCTTCCCTTCCCATTGTATCTCAACCCATCCTTTCCCATCCCACCCCATCCCGGTGTCCCGCATCCTCACCTTCCTGCCCTTCTCGTTATCGGGCAGGTAGCAGTGCCGGGGGAATCCTCGCGCCGTGAACTTCTTGCCAGGATTGGGATGCTCCGGGCCCTGGAGGGGGTAAGGGGGGGACATTGGGGTGAGGGGGGGCACAAGGAGGGGGTGCCCGGCCCCACAGGGGTCCCTCCTCACCTGGATGCCGGTGGGGATGTCGTAGACGATCCGGATGGTTTTGGAGTCGGTGTATCCCGGGAGGGAGTGTGGGATGAGGTGGAATTCCATCTTCCCGGGGGGCTGCGTTCCCGTCTTCTCCCCGTAAATGGCCTTGCAGGTGGGGCACTGCAGGCTCCCGTCCTGCGGGCACCAGGGGTGTCAGGGGGGGGCACAGACCCCCAACCCACCCACACTCACCTGACACCCTGCAAAACCCACCCACACCCAACCAGCACCCACCCACACCCAACCAGCACCCACCCGGCACCCCCCAGCACCCACCCACACCCAACCAGCATCCACCCCACACCTCCTAGAGCCCATCCAGCACCCCCCCAACACCCCTGCAGCACCAACCTCACAGTCCCCCCACCCATCCCCACACCCACCTGACACCACACCCTCTCACTCACCCCCACACCCACCCAGAGCCCCCCACCCTCTAGCACCCCTCAACACCCCCTCAGCACCCACCCAGCACCCCACAACACCCCCCCAACCCCCTACACCCAACCAGCACTCCCCAACACCACTCCACCCCGCCCCTCATCCTCACACCTCCCCCAGCACCCCCCAACCCCCACACACCCGACCAGCACCCCCCAACATCCCCCGTCACCCACCCCCACCCCCAGCCAGCCCCCAACACCCACCCAGCACCCAACCAGCACCCACCCAACATCCCCCAGCCCCATCACACCCAATCAGCACCCACCCCAACCTCCCAGCACCCCCGCTGCACCCACCCAACAGTCCCACCCAGAACCCACATTCACCCAGCACCCCCC